TACTACTACTCTCTCTCTCTCTCTCTCTCTCTCTCTCTCTCTCTCTCTCTCTCTCTCTCTCTCTCTCTTACACACATTCTCTCACTCTCGCTTTTCGATCTTTCATTTTTGATCTTTGATTTCTGTCGAATTATATAGAGGATTAACAAGCTTCGACTCTACTCCTTCGAGTGAATATTTTTCATCGATTTCATACTTTTCTCTTCCTCTTGTATAAATTTTATTTATTGTAAAAGGATAAAATGGAGGATTGATCTCGAAGCTCGTTTCGAATTTAGATGCTCTGAGCCTGTAATTCGTAATGTTCAATAATGTAGATGTAAATTTAGAACAATGATTCTCAATTGATTATTTTACAAAATATTTATAAATACGTTTCGTGATTTTTTTTTTTTTTATAAATACGAATATCAAATATTTGACGAAAAGTTTTAAAATCATTCGAAGGATTTGCTCAATTTGGAAAAGAAAAAAAAAAAAAATTCCAGACAATTCTTGATACAAAGAAATAGGACTAGATTTTAATAATAATTGTTGCTGCAATTAACCATTTCTTTTTGCGTAACCGACATTCTGCGGAAAGATCGAAATATCTCTGATCGATCTTTACAACATTCTTTCATTATGTAAACGTAAATGACTAATGTTAAATGTCAAAGTACACCGATAAGAAATTAATTCACTATAAATTAACGCGAGAATTATCTTAAAGAAGAAGAATGTCCAGTCCTATCGTTTGATCATTTTAATTATCACTTGCTTTTGATTTTTTGTTACATCAAGCAGGAACGATAAATGTTTGCAAAGCGAAAACTTTCTCGACGATTATTGCAAATTCTCTTACCATTATATTTCAAATTCATCCCAATCTCTCATTTATTAATCAACGAATTGAAAAAAATCGTGTGTTTCCCGCCTCGTTTTAATTTTGATCCTTGATTAACGCCTTCGCTTTACAACATCGCTTAAAAAAAACAAAAGAAATTACTCGAACGAGCATCTCCGTCGAGAACGCAATTGCGCGTATCGACGATCGACACTCGTATCTAGATCTGTGCATTTTGATTTGGAGCTTCAGCCACGGTTACATTGTGTACATTGTATAATATATCTTTCTCACATAAACAGCTAGCACATAGCAAAGCATAAACGAGGGTGCATCGATCTCTGCAACGAAGATCGAAGAACAATTCGATCCCCCTCTTCGATTCGACACAATCCTCGCTTTCCTCGTGGAAGAATCGCACTCGAGAGTCCAATAATCGTTCATGATCAACAACGTTCACGATGTAACTTAAAAAAAAAAAAAAAAAGAAAAAAACACCTTCGATTATTTTTTCTTTCCTCGGTCACCATTCTCCCTTTAATTTTCCCTCTGCTTCTGCAAAGAATCATCATCTCTCGTTTTGATTGTCAATTTTGATTAGTCATCAAATTCCCCCCCCCCTCCCCCCTCCCCCCTCCCCCCATCGATCTCTGACTCTCAAGGGCAA